AATCTTCGGACAGATAGTCAGGACCCTTTAGACTTCTTTAGGCTAGATAGTCAGGACCCTTCAAACTAGATAGCAATCTTCGGACTAGATAGTCAGGACCCTTCAGACTAGATAGCAATCTTCGGACTAGATAATCAGGACCCTTTAGACTAGATAGCAATCTTCGGACAAGATAGTCAGGACCCTTCAGACTAGATAGCAATCTTCGGACAAGATAGTCAGGACCCTTTAGACTAGATAGCAATCTTCGGACAAGATAGTCAGGACCCTTTAGACTTGATAGCAATCTTTAGGCTAGATAGTCAGGACCCTTCAAACTAGATAGCAATCTTCGGACTAGATAGTCAGGACCCTTTAGATTAGACTGAATAACGTCCATAATCTATTGGGTCTGATGGGCTGAGTCACGTCCCCTGGACGGTAAGGACTGATAGCTGAGTCCCGTTTCTTTACGGCCAGGACTGATGGACTGTGTCACGTCCCCTGGACGGTTAGGACTGATGGCTTGGTCACGTCCCCTGGACGGTTAGGACTGATGGACTGAGTCACGTCCCCTGGACGGTTAGGACTGATGGACTGAGTCCCGTTCTTTGACGGTTAGGACTGATGGTTGAGCCACGTCTTCTTGATGGTTAGGACTGATGGCTGAGTCACGTCCCCACGATGGTTAGGACTGATGGCTGAGTCACGTCCCCTGGACGGTTAGGACTGATGGACTGTGTCACGTCCCCTGGACGGTTAGGACTGATAGACTGAGTCATGTCCCCTGGACGGTTAGGACTGATGGCTTGGTCACGTCCCCTGGACGGTTAGGACTGATGGCTGAGTCACGTCCCCTGGACGGTTAGGACTGATAGACTGAGTCACGTTCCCTGGACGGTTAGGACTGATGGACTGAGTCACGTCCCCATGATGGTTAGGACTGATGGCTGAGTCACATCCCCTGGACGGTTAGGACTGATGGCTGAGTCACGTCCCCTCGACAGTGGAGACTGATGGACTGAGTCACGTCCCCTGGACGGTCAGGACTGATGTACTGAGTCACGTCCTATGGACGATTAGAACTGATAGACTGAGTCACGTCCCCTGGACGGTTAGGACTGATGGATTGAGTCACGTCCCCTGGACGGTAAGAACTGATGGACTGAGTCACGTCCCCTGGACAGTTGGGACTGGTGGACTGAGTCACGTTTCTTGACGATTAGGACTGATGGACTGAGTCACCTACCCTGAACAGTTGGGACTGATGGACTGAGTCACGTACCTTGATGGTTAGGACTGATGGACTGAGTCACGTCCCCTGAACAGTTGGGACTGATGGACTGAGTCACGTACCCTGGACAGTTGGGACTGATGGACTGAGTCACGTCCCCTGAACAGTTGGGACTGATGGACTGAGTCACGTACCCTGGACAGTTGGGACTGATGGACTGAGTCACGTACCCTGAACAGTTGGGACTGATGGACTGAGTCACGTACCTTGATGGTTAGGACTGATGGACTGAGTCACGTCCCCTGGACAGATGGACTGAGTCACGTCCCCTGGACAGTTGGGACTGATGGACTGAGTCACGTACCCTGGACAGTTGGGACTGATGGACTGAGTCACGTCCCCTGGACAGTTGGGACTGGTGGACTGAGTCACGTTTCTTGACGGTTAGGACTGATGGACTGAGTCACCTACCCTGAACAGTTGGGACTGATGGACTGAGTCACGTACCTTGATGGTTAGGACTGATGGACTGAGTCACGTCCCCTGAACAGTTTGGACTGATAGACTGAGTCACGTACCTGGACAGTTGGGACTGATGGACTGAGTCACGTACCTGGACAGTTGGGACTGATGGACTGAGTCACGTCCCCTGAACAGTTGGGACTGATGGACTGAGTCACGTACCCTGGACAGTTGGGACTGATGGACTGAGTCACGTACCTTGATGGTTAGGACTGATGGACTGAGTCACGTCCCCTGGACAGATGGACTGAGTCACGTCCCCTGGACAGTTGGGACTGATGGACTGAGTCACGTACCCTGGACAGTTGGGACTGATGGACTGAGTCACGTACCCTGGACAGTTGGGACTGATGGACTGAGTCACGTACCCTGAACAGTTGGGACTGATGGACTGAGTCACGTCCCCTGGACAGTTGGGACTGATGGACTGATTTACGTCCCCTGAACAGTTGGGACTGACGGACTGAGTCACGTCCCCTGAACAGTTGGGACTGATGGACTGAGTCACGTACCCTGGACAGTTGGGACTGATGGACTGAGTCACGTACCCTGGACAGTTGGGACTGATAAATTGAGCTAGGTCCCTGGACGGTTGGGTTTAGCGGGCTTAGCAATATATAATATACCCGTGTTTGTAACATGTATATGTACAGTGTTGATGAGCTGACATGGCACCTATCCACCTTTCCTTTTTCAACATTCTTTTTCCAATGAGCACTCGAACGACCCTAAGATATTCTCTTATCTGCAAATTATTGATTATGTATTTGTCACGTCCACTAAACCCTGTAATCTCGTATACTCAACAGAATTCCTCACTAGTACCCTTGCCAAGGGACAAGCTAGATCTAACGGACAACTTGTGTAGAAAGATCTCTACTTGGTATGATATATCTTCTACAGCCTCTGTAGATATCTATTTTAGATATATATGAATCTTTGTTATTGATTCTGTTGTTACTAACACTTGGGGAGACTCTATAGAACAGTCATCTTAACAGGATCACACCCTGTTGGATTCGGTCTCAGAGACTTGATTGATTTATTCAAAATGTCAAACTTTGGCCAGAATGCCAGAACGGTATTGTCAAAAGGACATGATGGATTTGTCAGAAAGTCCAGTTTTGGCCAAAATGTTACAGTAGATTGAATGTCCAGGTGGGCGTTACAGCAGTTGTGTGATTTTGGCCATAATATTGTGGCTAACTATACAAGATGGTGTTAACAACAATTGAAGTAAAAATAATCGGTGTAAAAATAATTGGTGTAAACAATAATTGGTGTAAACAATAATGGGTGTAAACAATAATGGGTGTAAACAATAATGGGTGTAAACAATAATGGGTGTAAACAATAATGGGTGTAAACAATAATGGGTGTAAACAATAATGGGTGTAAACAATAATGGGTGTAAACTATTATTGATGTAAAAAATATTTGATGTAAACTATTATTGATGTAAACAATATTTGATGTAAACTATAATTGATGTACACGTAACAATAATTGGTGTTAATAGTAATTAGCGTTAACAATGATTGACTCATTTTCGATAGTGTAACATCACCCCGCAAATACTACTTTCCTTGTAGAAATAAAATTCTTCAAAAACTTAGAATTTGACATGTGAACCATATACTGTCCAGACGAAAGAGTTAGAATGTCCAGTGTGTGTCGGTGTACAGATCGATATAAAGAGGTACAGTATACTTAATGTATCGAAGGACGATGCTATATTCGACAGATCGAAGTTCTCGACATTACGATTCGACATAACAGGGAACACTGGGGTCAATAAATCGATATACTATATTCGACAGATCGAAGTTATCGACATTACGATTCGACATAACAGGGAACACTGGGGTCAATAAATCGATATGCGTTCTAATGATTTGATATATTTTCATAATTACAGAAGAAAAGTGTTACAATTAGGTACACCGGAATATCGAAGAGAGATCTTACGAGTCTGGTAGTACGAATCTGTACAGGAAAGAATGAAAAGATATATCGATGTCTTATATTTTTGAACCGATGTAACGACAAACGGTACTACAACTCGAGATGCCTTTGTCTGGTAATGCGATTCGAAATACTTCAATTCGGCTCTTTGATTCGATATAACGAATACCAGCATACCTATGTCTGGTACTATGCTTCCATTTAACGAAGAACGGTTTTAAAACTCGACATACCTATGTCTGGTACTATGATTCCATATTACGAAGATCGGTTTTAAAACTCGACATACCTATGTCTGGTACTATGATTCCATATTACGAAGAACGGTTTTAAAACTCGACATACCTATGTCTGGTACTATGATTCCATATTACGAAGATCGGTTTTAAAACTCGACATACCAATGTCTGGTACTATGATTCCATATTACGAAGAACGGTTTTAAAACTCGACATACCTATGTCTGGTACTATGATTCCATATTACGAAGAACGGTTTTAAAACTCGACATACCTATGCCTGGTACTATGATTCCATATTACGAAGAACGGTTTTAAAACTCGACATACCTATGTCTGGTACTTTAGTTCCATATAACGAAGAACGATACTTAAACACGACATACCTATGTCTGGTACTTTGGTTCCATATAAAGAAGAACGGTATTAAAACTCGACATACCTAAGTCTGGTACTATGATTCCATATTACGAAGACCGGTACTTAAACACGACATACCTATGTCTGGTACTGTTGTAACGGAACTATTACCCAGAGCAGCAGATTAATAAGACGAACCCAACATTACCAACGAACACTCGTTAAACTGTTGTATTGTGATATATATATTATTTACCCAGCCCCGGTCTCGTTAATACAATACATCATTTAGCACGTTTTCATGCTTGATAGGTCGTGTATAAGATACCTAATGATAGCGAATCTCCACTTGGGACAACACCTTCCTATAACACTGTACACTTATAATGAAACAGTCGAACTGCTTGTACCCGGGCTTGCGGATAGGTGGGAATTCGAATAGTATTTCTATATAAATGCTCTCACATCTTGTACAACACTTGAAGATGAGCAATATAGCTAGGTAGTCGCAATGGAGTTATCACAAGGCTCCATGGGTTTACAAGACGTCTTTTTAAGTTCTGTATGGTTTGTTAGACATACCTTAGATATTACTTTAGAATGATGGTAAGGTAGTTTGGACTAAATGAATTAGGAATAATTTTGATCGACTTTCAAAAATGTTTCCTCTGATAGATAATTGAATTTGGTATCGTTTCCAGAAAGAGATAAAATGAGTGATGACCAGCGCCAGGAACTGATAAACAGAGTGAATTTTACCCTGGTTAGCGAGGATGTGTTACACCAAGCACTGGCATCGGAATTCATTCCCCCAGCCCACGTGGCAAAGGGCGCATTGGCATTATGTGCTCGTCTAAAGAAAGATCTAGAGGTCATGACATCAACGGTGTCAAAACAGGACGAGGAACTCCGAAGATACAACTACAGCTACAAGAGAGGAAAGGTGACGACGACTCCCGCGCCAAGGTCGTCGTATAGCTCAGCTCCTCCCTACCAACGCGGGGGGCTCACGGAAACAGGTAAAAGTCGACCTTTGACAACTAGTCTGTACTTAAGAATGAAACAAATGACAATTGCATGACTTTTTTGGTCATCTGACTCGTCGTCCGCCGTGCGTCGTTTGCTTAAACTTTTGACATTTTAAACTTCTTCTCCGGTCCCACTGGTGCCATTGAGCAAAAAATTGGTAAGAATGTTCGGGAAAGGTAGACAACAAATGTTATTATTTTTCGACACGAAACCCACAGAGGCTATTTTGTAACATGATTGCACAATCATGGTTTCCTGTGCTACACCTATTTCAAATTTCTTCTGAAGTTTCATTTGTGTTATTGAGCTCAGACTTGCATGAAATAGTCCTGAGATTGTCCTGACCAAGTGTTGATATTTTTCGGGTATGTCTGAAATCCAAGATGGCTGCCATAGCTGCCATCTTGAAAAAATATTTTAAACTCCTTCAGTTCAGCTTGTGCATTTAAGCTTAGGATTGGTGGGAATGTTAAGGAAAGGTAGCTAACAAAGTGTTGTTAATTATTGACTTTGTCAAAAATTTGACATGACAGCTAAGCAGGCCATTTTGTAACATGTTTGCGCAATCATGGTATTCCTATGCTACGTCTATTTCAAACCGCTGAAGTTTCACCAATGGTATTGAGATCCAATTTGTCTGAAATGATCCTGACCATGTGTTGTTATTTTTCAGATCGATCTGAAATTCAAGATGACCGCCATCTTGAAATACATATTTTAAACTTCTTCTCCAGTTCCATTTGTGCCGTTGAGCTAAAATTCGGTTGGAATTTTCAGGAAAGGTAGCCAACAAAGTGTTGTTATTTTTCGACCTTGTCAAAACTTTGACATTGCAGCCAGGGAGGTCATTTTGTAACATGATTGTGAAATCGTGATTTTCCTGTACAACACCTATTTCAAATTTCTTCTCAAGTTTCGCCACTTGGATTGAGCTTCATCTTTACGATAAAAAAAAATGCAGTTACCTACTCTTCACCAAAACTACCATCTGCATCATGGAAAATAGCTTCTTAATAAGATTTCATTCAAAGAAGAAAATTAATCCTTCTCCCTGCTGAATGTTTTTGTAGTCAGTTGTGTACACGTTTTTCCTTGTTTGACTATTCGTATAAGTCAAAATTTAAGCTTCCAAATCTAACCAAACATAAAAGGCAAATGCATGTAACTTATATACTACTCATTTGGAATATGTTCCTTTTCTCTAGATTACGAACCGACGAAAGACAGTGATCCGCTGAAGGTACTGGATAACATGCTGAGTGGGACGGACAGACAGACAGATGAAGTTCTCTCATCAGCAAGAAACAAGCTGACTTCCGGTGCGGGTACAGGGGTCCCGTTCAACTCCTTCCGGCCTGTACAGTCAGGGGAGCACGACATTAGCTTTGAGGAGGAACTGGAATTTAAGTACGACCGAGCATTCCGTGCTATGGACAACAGTAGATCCAAGCCACGGTCGGGCGGGTATGGATATAGGTCGTCATTCCGGTATTGATGCGAATGTCATTACATGAAATATGCATCCTCGATTTCACCAAAAGAAATATTTCTTAATCCTATTGGCATTTATAGTTGTTTTTCTATATCAATAATCTGGGCATGTATTTAAACATCTGCTAATGAACCTTGTGCACTGTTCATAACCTCGTTTTCAACACTTGGCGGCATTAAACATGCTTTGTTTCCAAACAAAGCAGTATTGAGGATGCATTGCTTTACAACAATGCTTTAGTTTTGAACACATATTTTAGGTGACACCAATCAGTTGTTTGTTCGTTATAAAGATTTTCGTTTTCTTTTATGAGGTCTCATCCACTATGGTGCCTTCCCTGATGTATTATGTGTTACGTTGACCTGGTCCGTCTCCCTGGTGTTATATATATCACGAAGAGATCACGTGCAACATTGATGTGACATGTTTCTGAAGTGTCACTTGGATGTTTTGTGTCACATTGAGATCACGTGCCACTTTGTTGTGGCGTGTTTCTCGGTCTGAAGTGTCACTTTGATGTTTTGTGTCACAATGAGATCACGTGCCACTTTGTTGTGGCGTGTTACCTGAAATAATGTGTCACTTTGATGTTTTGTGTCACAGTGAGATCACGTGCAACTTTGTTGTGGCGTGTTTCTCGGTCTGAAGTGTCACTTTGATGTTTTGTGTCACACTGAGATCACGTGCCACTTTGTTGTGGCGTGTTACCTGAAATAATGTGTCACTTTGATGTTTTGTGTCACAATGAGATCACGTGCCACTTTGTTGTGGCGTGTTTCTCGGTCTGAAGTGTCACTTTGATGTTTTGTGTGACACTGAGATCACGTGCCACTTTGTTGTGGCGTGTTACCTGAAATAATGTGTCACTTTGTTGTTTTGTGTCACAGTGAGATCACGTGCCACTTTGTTGTGGCGTGTTTCTCGGTCTGAAGAGTCACTTTGATGTTTTGTGTCACACTGAGATCACGTGCCACTTTGTTGTGGCGTGTTACCTGAAATAATGTGTCACTTTGATGTTTTGTGTCACACTGCCACTTGTGGCGTGTTAGAAATAATGTGTCACTTTGATGTTTTGTGTCACAATGTGTTTGTTGTGGCGTGTTTCTCGGTCTGAAGTGTCACTTTGATGTTTTGTGTGACACTGAGATCACGTGCCACTTTGTTGTGGCGTGTTTCTCGGTCTGAAGTGTCACTTTGATGTTTTGTGTGACACTGAGATCACGTGCCACTTTGTTGTGGCGTGTTACCTGAAATAATGTGTCACTTTGATGTTTTGTGTCACACTGAGATCACGTGTCACTTTGATGTTTTGTGTCACACTGAGATCACGTGTCACTTTGATGCATTGTGTTTCTCTTTAATGTTAATGTTATATTTTGACTGTAGTGTTTCCTGTTTGGATTTGACAAATGTACTCAGAGGAAAGGTGCCATTCTTATGCTTGTTTTAACTGTTTTATACCCGATTAAAAAATGGGCGTGGAAACTTTGTATAATATCACGTTTCATCGAAGGCTTATAATGTAACTAAAATTTTAGGTAAATTTTAGCTAACAACACATGATATCTTCACGATTTTTTTATGTCGATTTTTGTGCTTATATATATATATAGCTAGTCAAAAATAGCATTACCAGACCAAAAGTTACATACACGTAAGAAGGTGAAGGTCTCTGTGTGTAGGGCACACGGTGCGTTACGTCGAGAAATAGGTGCTGTTAACTGCACCTCAAACAAGACTATAAAGTCAATAGTCGGTTTAGAACTACAAATGGCACATACAAGCGTTGGCATGTGCTTCAATACTTCGTGTAAAAGTTCTAGATTCACGTTAAAGGAATTCCATAGGATTCCACTTTCGCTGTTTTAATTTTTGTTTATATAAAAGTAATTACATCGAGATGTGAAACAATTCGTCGGGAAAAACATCGATTCATACAACTATCGGACCTATACAAAAATACCAATCCTGAAGTGAACAATATAAATTCGATAAGACTGATAAACAGATATTCCGGAACACCGGTGGGTGTGTTTTCACAAATTTTCCGTGCGTGTCGGAAACGCCCGCAGATCTCCCTTTGTTGGCCGGAAAGACATGATTGTGTAAACTTGAAGTTTTGTTGTTTTAACAAAATAGATTAAGTTCGTGTATACAAAATACATATATATATATATACGGTCTGTTGGTATGGAAGTTTCTAATCCCTAAGGGTAATCCGAGGAAACAAAACGTGGTTATGTCTGGCTTCCCTGAGTTTTGCAGTGATACATCCGTTATCCTTTATTCATTCAGATGTTACAATGAATTAAACAATTTGTTATGTATTGAACGTGGTCTTCATCGTCTTATGTACATGATAATTCGACTTTTACATTACAAAATAGCACATCTAGTTAAACAATGGACTTACAATGGTGTCAGCTAAATTCACAAACACGAATATCGTTTGCTTGTCTGTGACGGATAGTGTTATTGTTTTGTCAACAATTTCTTGGTCCTCGGTAACTAGAGAAATTTAATTTTGTGACAATATTAATATGATTGTATGCCGAATCTATGAGAAATACACACATTATCGAGTAAAAATTATCAATACAGAATTTATCCAAAATTCAAAAATTCGTACTTTCCTTCTTCGTTACCATGGATTCCACACATTAAGTATTGAAATTGCCCTGAAATCCAGTCTAAATACATTCTATGGCTGTTACTGACTTATTTTATACCTGTTGCCTACTGTTGAACAGTTTTCTAACTGATACCAAGCCTTTTGAAAACAGCTGAAATTCTCACCCACAAGAGCACCCAAATTACCTCCCTTTATGCACCCCTGATAAAATTAAAATAAAATAATTATGAACAAGTTTCAGTGTCTTTTTTTATGTATTTATAGCAATTATGAATAGGATTAAACTTAATCAAACATAGTAAAGCACATTTTAAGTAGATTATTTTTTTTTATGTGCTATAAGGTAGCAGGAAAGTTCATTTGCATTTTTCCTGAAATTATTGGTTATGTTTGAGATATACAGGTATAGCAGATTGGTTATAAAAAATACATCATAACATGTATATATATACATAACAATTACATTAATAGTAGAGAGATGAAATAAAAAATTTCCTCTGATTTCTGACATTTGTTAGATTTGTGAAAATCCGTAAAATTTGCAGACATTGTTCAGACAATCTAGGAAGTGGTGACATCTGAGAATTTTTCAGACAATCTAGGAAGTGGTGACATCTTAGAATTGTTCAGACAATCTAGGAAGTGGTGACATCTTAGAATTGTTCAGACAATCTAGGAAGTGGTGACATCTTAGAATTGTTCAGACAATCTAGGAAGTGGTGACATCTTAGAATTGTTCAGACAATCTAGGAAGTGGTGACATCTTAGAATTGTTCAGACAATCTAGGAAGTGGTCATATCTTTTACTAATTTTTACATACTTTTAGGAATGATGGTATTTCAGGATCGTTTGAAAGACACAAATTACACCTATGTGACGTGGAGAAGTTGTGATCATGCTTCCTGCTGAGTGTGGAAGCACCATCAAGATGTTAAGACACAAATAAATTAAGGAGAGTCATCAATGGCTCTCACATCAATTGTATATGTGGAAGCTTTTTCCAAATATGCACCTACAGGAACAAACAAAAAACAAAAAGAATTAAAGAGATCCTCTCTTTATTATTACATACATGTGTCAACAGGTAAACATTGACTTTCAGAATACCACTCACATTCACCCGTGTCACATCTCTTTCTTTCACATCTCTGCTCACATTCACCTGTGTCACATCTCTTTCTCTCACATCTCTGCTCACATTCACCTGTGTCACATCTCTTTCTCTCACATCTCTGCTCACATTCACCTGTGTCACATCTCTTTCTCTCACATCTCTGCTATCAAACCTCTCTCACATACCACTCACATTCACCTGTGTCACATCTCTTTCTCTCACATCTCTGCTCACATTCACCTGTGTCACATCTCTTTCTCTCACATCTCTGCTCACATTCACCTGTGTCACATCTCTTTCTCTCACATCTCTGCTCACATTCACCTGTGTCACATCTCTTTCTCTCACATCTCTGCTATCAAACCTCTCTCACATACCACTCACATTCACCTGTCTCCCACCTCTCTTACATGCCGTAAAGAAAGGAACAGAAAGACAAGGATATATTCCGGTTCAAATATCCTAAAAACTCCAAAACAAGTCGACATCAAACATAATTCTTTTCAGAAAGTAAGCTTGTGATTTCTTGCACAAATAAACTTGCAACTGCCTAACAATTAAAGATAATAAGATGGGTCTTCTTTTCAAAACAAGCTCAATTCAAAAATAATTCTATCCTGAAAATAAGCTTGTGGTTTCTTGCATAAATAAAGTTGCATTTGTTTAAAATTGAAGGAAATATGATGGGTCTTCCCTTCAAATTTTAGGGTATTCAAATAATCTTCAATGTCAACATTCCCAACAAATATTCCATGTTTACTACAGCTAAAATTCAAATACCTGGTACAGTTTAGAATACAAAAATATTTTTTTTCAATACATGTATATTTTTCCTCATGTTTGTATGACAAATCTTGTTTTCACAAGTTCATGATTCATGAAATTGAAATGACCAAAGATGACATCTGTTCTTGTAAATCTACCTAAGAAAATGTGACGAGACACTCCTACATCAAACTGGTCTTCCAGCTGTTTGGACAAAAGCATCAGAGTAGATTCAATTCCAACTGATTCAATTTTCCTCCCTTTTTTTCTATACACATTTAAAATATCTATTACATATCATCACAGTAACAAATCTCTGCCTTGTACATCACTTCATACTTGCATTTCAAAATATTTGGTGACTGGCTATCATTCATAAATATCCTATCCAAACATCACATTCCATATATCGTCATACCTCACACGTGTCATTTTTCTCTAAACTTCCAATTTTTATCACATACTCAGTGTTTACAAGCTTCTCCTTAAGTGATAGACTTAATGATTCTAGTAACAAAATGACAATAATTCCATTTTGGCTTACAGGTTAGAGAAATCCCTCATACTGGAATTATCTTATAAAATGTTGTGACACTTTAACAGTATGATAAATCTAACAATACATAAGTGTCAAACATCAAACGCACAGAGATATTAATTCATGTTCACTAGGAAACACTAACTAACACAACCAGTTACTTTCCATTTACCATGAATTGCCTTGCATCCATGCTCAAATCTTTCTGGAGCAGACTCACAGAACAGGACTAGAACTGATATTCTGTTAGAGAGGACTCACACCTCAGAAAGGAAACTTTTAACCTGGATCTAGTCAGGCTAACAAGTCATCAAGATGGTGAAGGTGAAGGTTTAGCCCTTTTCATGGCTTTGTATTCTCCCTCTTGTGTGGCTAACATCTGGTGAAGTTTCCGCACCTTACCCTGACGCTCCTCATCTCTGGAAAAAGGAAACAAATGTGTGAATTGTAAAGATTGGGTACAAGTATAGGGGAGGCACGTCATTTACCTAACATGAGAGAAATATTGTTGTAACATAAGGGAAGTAATTAACATTTAATCAACTGAGACAAGGGAGGTAATTCATTGAAGAAAGCAGGGAAAACAGACCATACTGTATACATCAGTATATTATGCAAAACATACTGATTGAATATTGTAGAAAAATAGATAAATCACTGTAAGACAAGGGAGAATAGTATCTTACCTCTCTATTTGATCCTTGAGCTGTTTCCTAGCGAGGAACTGATTATCTTTTCTGATCTCCCTCATTGCACCCTATAGGATAAAGATCATAATATTACACATAGAAATCATTTACTATGTAGAACTCCAAAACATTTTTCAAAATAAATATTTTTTCAAAGACTTGGGATCTTGTACTAAGTACACTTTCTTACCTTCATTTCCTTTTTGTACTTGTGCAGTAGCTTTTGCTTCTCGTTTAACTGTTTTGATGATGACTTTTGTTTTATTTTCCTTTCTTCAAATCTGCAAAAGTAAAATTAGATCTTGGAGAATTAAATCTCTATTACTATAAATTTATATCCAGGTATGCCAAGAGCTAAGAAGAGTATTCTATCAAAACAAGTTTGTGAGACTCACATATTTGTTGTAATTACAAGAGTAAACGTTTGCTTGCATTTCTAAGCTTAAAGGGATATTATTAATTATCATTAAACATAATGCACCAGTTATTCACTTTTACATCGACAATTCTTACATACAAGAGCTTTTAGAGCACTTGACTTACACTTCCTCCACCAAAGGTTCAAATGTTCTCATTGGTTGGGGTTTCTTTTTATTCATCACCAGTGGTTTACGCAATATGTTGCTATGGTGACTTATCTCCTCGACCACCATTGCCATCATCTCCTGTGTAAAAATGAAGCAAAATCTTCTTGATACTTAACATGATTATCTCGCCTCCTTTAAAATCTGAATTGTAGAAGAACTATCCTAATTTTTCATGTGTTTCAAAGCAATTAGAAACTGGGTTCAATGCTTTTGTGGACAACTTGATCAGTATAACTTGGTTTCAATATCATACATCATTCCATATCATACATAAAATATGTGTCATGAAACATATAGATTGCAATTGTAACAGAATGTACAGTTTCACACACGTATTAGTCATGGATATTTACCTTAAGAGTAACAGGGTATTGGTTCTTGTCTATTTTTCCAAACATGTAGAGAATAGGTGAGAAAACCTCTCGGAATGTTGGCAGATCTTTGTACAGTGATGAGAATTCTCCAATTAAAGTTACACAGCTGTGAGTTGCCTGCAACCTGAGAGAGAATGGTTGTTAGGTCATACCAGGGATACAAATAAATACCAGTACAGTTAATTTCATAAGCAATACCACAACCATTTAATTTATTTCTCTAAATATTTTGGTATTAATCATCATCTGTGATTTAAAGTCAACCAGACAGCTGATAGACCTACATGTTCAAGTTATCACTACAGTTATTACAGCTTTATCTGCCAGTGTCATTTTGGTACAAACATCTCTGTAATTACCGTTTTTTCGGGGTTATAAGTCGCACTGGTATATAAGCTGTAGAGCATATTTTCAACGATTGTTTCAATTTGATCCACATATTAGCTGCACGGGAATATAAGTCACACCCTTTCATAAGACATAGTAACTGTTATTTTGACCAAAGTTTGTTGATATAAAAGGAAAAGGAAGGCAGTGAAACATTTAATATAAGTCTGCAAATTCATTATACACAGATAGTCCTTTATTTTATTGATGTGTTTGAGAAACATTCAATAGCAATTATCAAACTTGCTTGCTTTTATTTTAATCTTAAAATCATCCTGTATACAACTACAAATGATGGTTCTAGATGATCTGTTTCAGTCATAAACATGTAATGGACAGGTACTCCTTCTCTGGTACTCTCTATTAAATTTTTTTTTTCAGTCTGCTGAATTTTTTTTCCTCCACATATAAACTGCACTGGTTTATAAGCTGTATGCCCGAGGAAAAAAGCTGTGGTTTATAATCCAGAAAATATGGTATCCATATTTTCACAGAATTGTAACAAATTTCACCAAATCATCGATAAGCTGGGCTCTTCAATCATAATACAAACAGTGATGATTCTTTGACTTGGCAGTACCAGTAAATAACCAGGAGTTGTGAACCTACCGGAAGCTGTCATTACGAAGTGCATCAAGCTCCATCTCAGTGTTAAGTACCTCACTCATTTTCATAGGACTAAATTCAAAAGAACTGTAAAGCAAACAAAGGATTAAATATAAAACATTGTAGTAGTAGACACACACATTAATATAGTAGACACACACATTAATATGAGTTCAAATTTAGTCACAGTCCAAAAATCAAAAGGACACAACTAGGGACCAAAAGGTAACCTGTCAATTTTTATAGCAGATAAGCTCCTTTGTCAGTATTGTGTGTCTTCCAGGTTGCGAGGGTTTGCTTGTTATGTTTTTAAACATAGTTTGAACAAACTGTATTGTGATAACTATTCCTGAAACTGATCATTATCCTTCAGCCTATAATGTGCCGATGTCTTTATTTCAGGCTGCTATTTCATCATCCATTCATTGAATGAAAATTTATTATTTACTTTAACTATCGGCAATATTGATATTAGCAGTAAAATACAGTACATGTATATATGTGCCATCAAGTTCCAAAATTGAAAAAACGAAAAATGGGACCAAGTGAAATCTAAATATGAAATTAAGGAAAGATCAATCAAGTACTTCTCCAAAAATATTGATAACAAACTATGACTATCAAAAAACAAAATAGCTGCCTGTCTGCCATTTTATTTTTTGGATCAGCACCAAAATGGACTTATGCATATTTAGGGATCAAGGCGAACAACATATATTTGAGAATGATCCATCAAACACATTTCAGAAAAAAAAACCCCCAGTAATTAGAATTGCTGAAGGCTGGAAGCTGGGCAATTTGAACAGCATACCACAAGACGATGGAGGGTTGAAAAGTGACTGCTGAAAATAGCAATATTCAGTCCTGAGACTCTTAAGAACTGGAATGTGCCTACAACAATTGATTGAAATCCCTCATTCAATCTGGTGTACCTACTTGTGTTTGGCGTCCAACTGAAGGAGATTGACACTATTACCGATAGGCTTGAATGGAGGTATCACACTCTCATCTATAACACAACATGTTGCAGAACATTGATAAAAAGAGTCAGCAAGTACTTATCTTCATATCAAGATTTCTTCAGGTTTCTGGATCTTTGCAGGTTTTTAAATATCATGCCAATGTAATACTCAATATATGAACTCACTATCAGTCCACAATTTTCAATGCTAATATGCTGAATAAAACAGAGTTTGGCAATGCTGATACAAACTGATTTTCAATGATAATACATCCTGATTTTCAGTGCTTTTATACAATGAATGATTTCCAAAGCTAATTTGTAATGCTTATGTACTCAAGTTTTCAATGCTGGTTGTTCATAGACACTATACATGATTTTCAATGTAAATATATATGCTGATTTTCAATGTAAATAAATTATGATTTTCAAAGCTAATATACCCTGTTTTTAATGGGCAATATTCATTGATTTTGATGCCATTATACACAGATTTTCAATATTAATGTACTGTTTTTTTGTTTTTTCAACACTAATATACAATGATTTTCAATAATAATAAACCCAGTTTTTGAAAACATACATTACAAATACTCCTCATAAGGTTGTATACAGAGGAATACACCACAGAAAATTTTCATTATGTGAAATAGGAACAACCTTGACCATTGTCATCATAAAGAAAAAAAAAAAGGCAGCATTGCCACAAAGTTTATCAGATGCATGAACTATGTGTTTCTATTTACATTTATTGTCGTCCTTCAGTATGATTAGGAACAGGAGTCCGTGAAGGAAGTTCACCACTTCAGGAACAAACCTCTTGGATAGCGACACAAACTGTAAAATAACAAACTGATTTAGTATAATATCTCAGGTATCTGCTATACAAAAGTATGGCCTTGTATTGCTCTAATTCAAGGTCACCAGAGTTGTGATAGGTGTGAGGGTGATAACATCAACTGTAAAACAAATATTATGAAATTTATATATCATTCTTGTTTACAAACATTTCACAAATCTCCACCTACTTGAAAACAGTCTTCATGTTTTTGTAGCAATTGTTTCTTCAGTCACAAAAGGGAGATAACTGTGTATGTTATCACATACATAATCTTGAAGGAAATTACAGTTACAAATTTACTTTATGATTACATAAGGAAGGTTACTTGATGCAAATTTATATTTAAATATAAACTATGTACAACCATTTGAAAATTTTCTACAATCCCTTCAAAGTTTTTCCTTTTCGTTTTAAAGACTAAAGGAATATATCAATTAAAATTTCACTACACCAATTTAATCAAAGTACATACAAATATTGAAATATTCAATGGCCACAATGGCCTTGAGAACTAAATGTCAAAATTTAGTTCTAAGTAAAGTTGGTTCTAGGGATTTACAGGTACCAGTCATGTTTAGAGGTCTATAATAACAATGTAGACTAATTGCAGGTTAACAACACAGACTGTAGTATTTTACCTCCAAACACAGATTACAAAGGAACAGGCCAGCTGCTATGTCTCGTTCATGGTTAACTGGACACTGAAAACATAAAAGAAAATTCATCACTGATTGTGATTCAGGTATGTGATTTTTATCTGAACACCTAAACTTCACTTGCTTGGAGGGACTGCATCCTTTACACAACGCTTTGTAATAAAGTGAAGCAAACATTATCAGAACAAATCACTTTGCATTAATGTCTTTATTCAGAAAAACTAAACAAATTCCCTGTAGTTTCTTCAGCCACAAAGGGGAGATAACTGTGTGACTGCTTATATCTCACATTTGATCTGCGCCTGTTGGAAGTGACTGTGTACATTTGATACACAACATATGGAACAAGGCGTGACTAAAACTAACAGGCAATTAGCAGAGAAAATACAGCCAGAAACAACTGGATTTAAACCTGAATCTTGACATGCCTGTTATAAGCCACACAAACATTATAGAAATTTTGTTTTCGTCTTTGTGCAACTTTTCATTTCTGACTGATATTATGAAATGTGTCTTAATCATAAAATCTTCACTTTCAAAAAATGACCAAGGACATAGTCATTCAGGTCCAAGTCCATGACCCAGTCATGGACATATCACATGTGAGATTATATAAAGGATGTTAACAGGTAAAATTCAATAGGATTGATGAAACAGAAGTGGTGAAAGGTCTTAGTGAAGAAGGTATTTTAAATGGTTTTGGAGATATGTTCAAGAAATGCTGGATTCAGTGAATTTGAAAATCTTTTTCCATGGTAACCAAAGAAAAAAGGCACTATTAGATCACTTAAATGATGTGTGTAAACAGTTTTCTGAAGATATTAAAACATTTTTGGAGATGTGATTTGTTCATGCCCCAGAATGCAATGACAAACAAACAGATGGAACCTGTTTGTATATCCTTGCCAACTTTTGTTGTGTGGGGGACAGGAACATTTTCTTGTGGTGAGTGTTTCTTCAGCCACACAGGGGAGATAACTGTGTGACTGCTTATATCTCACATTTGATCTGCGCCTGTTGGAAGTGACTGTGTACATTTGATACACAACATATGGAACAAGGCGTGACTAAAACTAACAGACGATTAGCAGAGAAAATACAGCCGGACACAACAGGATTTAAACCTGAATCTTGACATGCCTGTTATAAGCCACACAAACATTATAGAAATTTTGTTTTCGTCTTTGTACAACTTTTCATTTCTGACTGATATTATGAAATGGGTCTTAATCATAAAATCTTCATTTTCAAAAAATGACCAAGGACAGAGTCACTCAGATCCACTGCCAAGGGACCCAGTCATGGACATATCACATGTGAGATTATATAAAGGATGTTAACAGGTAAAATTCAATATGATTGATGAAACAGAAGTGGTGAAAGGTCTTAGTGAAGAAGGTATTTTAAATGGTTTTGGAGATTATGTTCAAGAAATGCTGGATTCAGTGAATTTGAAAATCTTTTTCCATGGTAACCAAAGAAAAAAGGCACTATTAGATCACTTAAATGATGTGTGTAAACAGTTTTGTGAAGTTATCTTAAAACATTTTTGGAGATGTGATCTGTTCATGCCCCAGAATGCAATGACAAACAAACAGATGGAACCTGTTTGTATATCCTTGCCAACTTTTGTTGTGTGGGGGACAGGAACATTTTCTTGTGGTGAGTGTTTCTTCAGCCACACAGGGAGATAACTGTGTGACTGCTTATATCTCACATTTGATCTGCGCCTGTTGGAAGTGACTGTGTACATTTGATACACAACATATGGAACAAGGCGTGACTAAAACTAACAGACGATTAGCAGAGAAAATACAGCCGGAAACAACAGGATTTAAACCTGAATCTTGACATGCCTGTTATAAGCCACACAAACATTATAGAAATTTTGTTTTCGTCTTCGTGCAACTTTTCATTTCTGACTGATATTATGAAATGGGTCTTAATCATAAAATCTTCATTTTCAAAAAATGACCAAGGACAGAGTCACTCAGATCCACTGCCAAGGGACCCAGTCATGGACATATCACATGTGAGATTATATAAAGGATGTTAACAGGTAAAATTCAATATGATTGATGAAACAGAAGTGGTGAAAGGTCTTAGTGAAGAAGGTATTTTAAATGGTTTTGGAGATTATGTTCAAGAAATGCTGGATTCAGTGAATTTGAAAATCTTTTTCCATGGTAACCAAAGAAAAAAGGCACTATTAGATCACTTAAATGATGTGTGTAAACAGTTTTGTGGAGTTATCTTAAAACATTTTTGGAGATGTGATTGGTTCATGCCCCAGAATGCAATGACAAACAAACAGATGGAACCTGTTTGTATATCCTTGCCAACTTTTGTTGTGTGGGGGACAGGAACATTTTCTTGTGGTGAGTGTTTCTTCAGCCACACAGGGGAGATAACTGTGTGACTGCTTATATCTCACATTTGATCTGCGCCTGTTGGAAGTGACTGTGTACATTTGATACACAACATATGGAACAAGGCGTGACTAAAACTAACAGACGATTAGCAGAGAAAATACAGCCGGACACAACAGGATTTAAACCTGAATCTTGACATGCCTGTTATAAGCCACACAAACATTATAGAAATTTTGTTTTCGTCTTTGTACAACTTTTCATTTCTGACTGATATTATGAAATGGGTCTTAATCATAAAATCTTCATTTTCAAAAAATGACCAAGGACAGAGTCATTCAGGTCCACTGCCAAGGGACCCAGTCATGGACATATCACATGTGAGATTATATAAAGGATGTTAACAGGTAAAATTCAATATGATTGATGAAACAGAAGTGGTGAAAGGTCTTAGTGAAGAAGGTATTTTAAATGGTTTTGGAGATATGTTCAAGAAATGCTGGATTCAGTGAATTTGAAAATCTTTTTCCATGGTAACCAAAGAAAAAAGGCACTATTAGATCACTTAAATGATGAACAGTTTTGTGAAGTTATCTTAAAACATTTTTGGAGATGTGATCTGTTCATGCCCCAGAATGCAATGACAAACAAACAGATGGAACCTGTTTGTATATCCTTGCCAACTTTTGTTGTGTGGGGGACAGTAACATTTTCTTGTAGTGAGTGTTTCTTCAGCCACACAGAGGAGATAACTGTGTGACTGCTTATATCTCACATTTGATCTGCGCCTGTTGGAAGTGACTGTGTACATTTGATACACAACATATGGAACAAGGCGTGACTAAAACTAACAGACGATTAGCAGAGAAAATACAGCCGGACACAACAGGATTTAAACCTGAATCTTGACATGCCTGTTATAAGCCACACAAACATTATAGAAATTTTGTTTTCGTCTTTGTACAACTTTTCATTTCTGACTGATATTATGAAATGGGTCTTAATCATAAAATCTTCATTTTCAAAAAATGACCAAGGACAGAGTCACTCAGATCCACTGCCAAGGACCCAGTCATGGACATATCACATGTGAGATTATATAAAGGATGTTAACAGGTAAAATTCAATATGATTGATGAAACAGAAGTGGTGAAAGGTCTTAGTGAAGAAGGTATTTTAAATGGTTTTGGAGATTATGTTCAAGAAATGCTGGATTCAGTGAATTTGAAAATCTTTTTCCATGGTAACCAAAGAAAAAAGGCACTATTAGATCACTTAAATGATGTGTGTAAACAGTTTTGTGAAGTTATCTTAAAACATTTTTGGAGATGTGATCTGTTCATGCCCCAGAATGCAATGACAAACAAACAGATGGAACCTGTTTGTATATCCTTGCCAACTTTTGTTGTGTGGGGGACAGTAACATTTTCTTGTAGTGAGTGTTTCTTCAGCCACACAGAGGAGATAACTGTGTGACTGCTTATATCTCACATTTGATCTGCGCCTGTTGGAAGTGACTGTGTACATTTGATACACAACATATGGAACAAGGCGTGACTAAAACAAACAGACGATTAGCAGAGAAAATACAGCCGGAAACAACAGGATTTAAACCTGAATCTTGACATGCCTGTTATAAGCCACACAAACATTATAGAAATTTTGTTTTCGTCTTCGTGCAACTTTTCATTTCTGACTGATATTATGAAATGGGTCTTAATCATAAAATCTTCATTTTCAAAAAATGACCAAGGACAGAGTCACTCAGATCCACTGCCAAGGGACCCAGTCATGGACATATCACATGTGAGATTATATAAAGGATGTTAACAGGTAAAATTCAATATGATTGATGAAACAGAAGTGGTGAAAGGTCTTAGTGAAGAAGGTATTTTAAATGGTTTTGGAGATTATGTTCAAGAAATGCTGGATTCAGTGAATTTGAAAATCTTTTTCCATGGTAACCAAAGAAAAAAGGCACTATTAGATCACTTAAATGATGTGTGTAAACAGTTTTGTGAAGTTATCTTAAAACATTTTTGGAGATGTGATTGGTTCATGCCCCAGAATGCAATGACAAACAAACAGATGGAACCTGTTTGTATATCCTTGCCAACTTTTGTTGTGTGGGGGACAGGAACATTTTCTTGTGGTGAGTGTTTCTTCAGCCACACAGGGGAGATAACTGTGTGACTGCTTATATCTCACATTTGATCTGCGCCTGTTGGAAGTGACTGTGTACATTTGATACACAACATATGGAACAAGGCGTGACTAAAACTAACAGACGATTAGCAGAGAAAATACAGCCGGACACAACAGGATTTAAACCTGAATCTTGACATGCCTGTTATAAGCCACACAAACATTATAGAAATTTTGTTTTCGTCTTTGTACAACTTTTCATTTCTGACTGATATTATGAAATGGGTCTTAATCATAAAATCTTCATTTTCAAAAAATGACCAAGGACAGAGTCATTCAGGTCCACTGCCAAGGGACCCAGTCATGGACATATCACATGTGAGATTATATAAAGGATGTTAACAGGTAAAATTCAATATGATTGATGAAACAAAAGTGGTGAAAGGTCTTAGTGAAGAAGGTATTTTAAATGGTTTTGGAGATATGTTCAAGAAATGCTGGATTCAGTGAATTTGAAAATCTTTTTCCATGGTAACCAAAGAAAAAAGGCACTATTAGATCACTTAAATGATGTGTGTAAACAGTTTTGTGAAGTTATCTTAAAACATTTTTGGAGATGTGATCTGTTCATGCCCCAGAATGCAATGACAAACAAACAGATGGAACCTGTTTGTATATCCTTGCCAACTTTTGTTGTGTGGGGGACAGTAACATTTTCTTGTAGTGAGTGTTTCTTCAGCCACACAGAGGAGATAACTGTGTGACTGCTTATATCTCACATTTGATCTGCACCTGTTGGAAGTGACTGTGTACATTTGATACACAACATATGGAACAAGGCGTGACTAAAACTAACAGACGATTAGCAGAGAAAATACAGCCGGACACAACAGGATTTAAACCTGAATCTTGACATGCCTGTTATAAGCCACACAAACATTATAGAAATTTTGTTTTCGTCTTTGTACAACTTTTCATTTCTGACTGATATTATGAAATGGGTCTTAATCATAAAATCTTCATTTTCAAAAAATGACCAAGGACAGAGTCACTCAGATCCACTGCCAAAGGACCCAGTCATGGACATATCACATGTGAGATTATATAAAGGATGTTAACAGGTAAAATTCAATATGATTGATGAAACAGAAGTGGTGAAAGGTCTTAGTGAAGAAGGTATTTTAAATGGTTTTGGAGATTATGTTCAAGAAATGCTGGATTCAGTGAATTTGAAAATCTTTTTCCATGGTAACCAAAGAAAAAAGGCACTATTAGATCACTTAAATGATGTGTGTAAACAGTTTTGTGAAGTTATCTTAAAACATTTTTGGAGATGTGATCTGTTCATGCCCCAGAATGCAATGACAAACAAACAGATGGAACCTGTTTGTATATCCTTGCCAACTTTTGTTGTGTGGGGGACAGTAACATTTTCTTGTAGTGAGTGTTTCTTCAGCCACACAGAGGAGATAACTGTGTGACTGCTTATATCTCACATTTGATCTGCGCCTGTTGGAAGTGACTGTGTACATTTGATACACAACATATGGAACAAGGCGTGACTAAAACAAACAGACGATTAGCAGAGAAAATACAGCCGGAAACAACAGGATTTAAACCTGAATCTTGACATGCCTGTTATAAGCCACACAAACATTATAGAAATTTTGTTTTCGTCTTCGTGCAACTTTTCATTTCTGACTGATATTATGAAATGGGTCTTAATCATAAAATCTTCATTTTCAAAAAATGACCAAGGACAGAGTCACTCAGATCCACTGCCAAGGGACCCAGTCATGGACATATCACATGTGAGATTATATAAAGGATGTTAACAGGTAAAATTCAATATGATTGATGAAACAGAAGTGGTGAAAGGTCTTAGTGAAGAAGGTATTTTAAATGGTTTTGGAGATTATGTTCAAGAAATGCTGGATTCAGTGAATTTGAAAATCTTTTTCCATGGTAACCAAAGAAAAAAGGCACTATTAGATCACTTAAATGATGTGTGTAAACAGTTTTGTGAAGTTATCTTAAAACATTTTTGGAGATGTGATTGGTTCATGCCCCAGAATGCAATGACAAACAAACAGATGGAACCTGTTTGTATATCCTTGCCAACTTTTGTTGTGTGGGGGACAGGAACATTTTCTTGTGGTGAGTGTTTCTTCAGCCACACAGGGGAGATAACTGTGTGACTGCTTATATCTCACATTTGATCTGCGCCTGTTGGAAGTGACTGTGTACATTTGATACACAACATATGGAACAAGGCGTGACTAAAACTAACAGACGATTAGCAGAGAAAATACAGCCGGACACAACAGGATTTAAACCTGAATCTTGACATGCCTGTTATAAGCCACACAAACATTATAGAAATTTTGTTTTCGTCTTCGTACAACTTTTCATTTCTGACTGATATTATGAAATGGGTCTTAATCATAAAATCTTCATTTTCAAAAAATGACCAAGGACAGAGTCATTCAGGTCCACTGCCAAGGGACCCAGTCATGGACATATCACATGTGAGATTATATAAAGGATGTTAACAGGTAAAATTCAATATGATTGATGAAACAGAAGTGGTGAAAGGTCTTAGTGAAGAAGGTATTTTAAATGGTTTTGGAGATATGTTCAAGAAATGCTGGATTCAGTGAATTTGAAAATCTTTTTCCATGGTAACCAAAGAAAAAAGGCACTATTAGATCACTTAAATGATGTGTGTAAACAGTTTTCTGAAGATATTAAAACATTTTTGGAGATGTGATTTGTTCATGCCCCAGAATGCAATGACAAACAAACAGATGGAACCTGTTTGTATATCCTTGCCAACTTTTGTTGTGTGGGGGACAGTAACATTTTCTTGTAGTGAGTGTTTCTTCAGCCACACAGAGGAGATAACTGTGTGACTGCTTATATCTCACATTTGATCTGCGCCTGTTGGAAGTGACTGTGTACATTTGATACACAACATATGGAACAAGGCGTGACTAAAACTAACAGACGATTAGCAGAGAAAATACAGCCGGACACAACAGGATTTAAACCTGAATCTTGACGTACCTGTTATAATCCATTGTGTGATAAAGTTGATGACATATTACTCACCTGTGCCAGCATTTGAGTGATGAATATGATGGCAGGTGTGGTAACTGAATGGCGGAAGTCAGACGAAGGAAACAACACTGGCACAAGCTTCAGCAGCAGTAACTGGCAAAAAATATAACAACCTGTTGTCAACAAACTATTCCTAAAAAAGTGAATTTATATTCTGTATTCTTGTAAAGTTTTCACTTGTTCTCCTGGTACATTGTAGTTATAGTAGAATGTTTATCAAGTATCTATGTGTATGATCATTTATATATCTACCATCCACGCATGGTCGTTGTGTAAAACAGAGACTGAACACTAATCCATGGCTTTTTGTGTTCCATGCATAGTGAGTCATAATCATATATTACATAGACATTCAGATAAACGTTAAAGGGAGATAAAACAAGACAGCTTAGATTGGAATTTAAATAGCATACATTTCAGTATGTAATACTAAGAATGTCGCCATGTAGTCAGATCGTCTGATTTGGTTATATAGCTAAAGTCCAAACATAAAAATTAGTATTATTACATAAATACTTATTCAGCAAGCTAACCAGTATTAAGTATTTATCACTGTTCATTGAAAATTGAAAAAAAAACACATATTCTGTGGGTTAGTTATACCTACAGTTGTAGGATCACACAATGTAACAGGATGTTTGATGTGCACATGATGTCTGCACGATGTGTACACAAAACACAAACACCCTTTCTACAGTTTTAGTAATAGTGTATATAAGTAAAAATTTGTGTTGTTGGCCCTGTTGAAGACCTTAACCTATCAATCCCAGGGTGCAATAGTCTATTGGAAACATCCGCTACGCTTTCTTGCATATACTGTTGTGAATAAACCACGTAAGTTAAGTATATATTACTGTTTCATATCAACAGGGATGATTAATCAAAACCACAGAAATCGATATCTCCAAATCATATATTATACGTAACTGATTCTACGAGATTTGTTTCAGTTACAAACACTGGCAAATATGGCAAATTAACAGTATATCAAATATAAAACAGACTCCATTCAGTTATTCTAATCATTTCTTATCTCGGAAGCAAAAGTTAATGAATATAGGAAGAATCTAGAGTAACAAGAGAAAATAAATCTGGCTTGGCTGACAATGTATAGACATTTATTCTGTATCATTTACTGTGTTTGTGATAACAATGTAACGTTTATCTGTTTCTGTACAACCCATGAGTCAAGACCAAACAAAAACACTATCTACTGTAGGAACCTACCACTTACCACCCCAAGGTTTTGCAGATACTTACAGTGTCCAAGGCTGGGTAGAGGCCTCGTCCTGCCTTTCTCATACAGATCTGTCTGAACTCTTCCTGACGGTCCTTTATTTGGTCAAGGACAAAGTTGGCTGAAGGAACAGGAGACATTTGGACCAATTTATAGATTGGTATGGTCAACTTATCAATGAGGTCAAGCTGTGGTGGGTCCTGCAGGGCAAGATCTGTATAGTACTGTATCAGTGTACCCAGGAATACCTGTAATGTGGATGGGAGTCGTACAAATATCCTGGAGAGTAAGATCTGTATAGTACTGTATCAGTGTACCCAGCAATACCTGTAATGTGGATGGGAGTCGTACAAATATCCTGGAGAGTAAGATCTGTATAGTGCTGTATCAGTGTACCCAGCAATACCTGTAATAATCATTTTGTGATTTCATTGACAATACAAGTTTGTGCCAATAGGTATTGCAAGTTCTGAGCCACCATTGCAAAATTCAAAGTGTACCCTATTCATTTAAATCTGTAGGAAGTCACATATTCACCAGATGAGTTTACTGTAGAATGTTTGGCACAAGGATAAGTAATGACCAGTCATAGACTAGAACGACACATTATCAACACAATATTGTACAATACAATGAGAAATAAACCAGTCAAATGAATGTGTTTCAAATTCAGTAGGCATCTTTTGTTTAGGGGGTAGTACCTATCCCAATTCTAAACAAATTGAAGTCTAAAAGTGATGTTATTTTAGCAACATCAACGAAATCCAACAAAGATCCACACATTTTGTTCACACAGTCCCTCACATGTTCGTAGCCAATCAAAATGCTCCTTTCAATATTTTATGTCATAGAAATTCCACCCAAATGGAAGACAAGTTGTTGGTCAGGATAAAGGTTGAGGCATATCAAAAGTCTTTAAATTATTCTGTGTATGGATTATCTATCAAAATTATTTTTGTAATCATTCCTAGGTTGTGTACCCAAAATCTGTCATATCTATCTATGAATGGCAAAGGTATTTGTTCACTACAGTAGGTTGATAACACATCGGACATTGTAATTTTTTCTTATGTCAAGGTTGGTCATCTGTCTCAACAGAAAAGATGGTCACCATATTTGAGCCAGCATCAGAACGAGTGTCATGACAATGACTTGACAATTCATGAGTATGGCATAGGTAAGATTATGAAAATTATCCAATAATAAAATGTGTTACATATCTATCATTCAAAAACATTGTTTAGAGAGCAATGCGAAGGTTGGTCACAGTGAATTAATAGCTTGCATGGCTTTGTATCAAGATGACCTAGTCATAGAATTCAAACATGATATATATCTCCATCAGAGTATTTCATTTACCAAACATGAACTCCTCAGAATCTAACACTCAAAGGTATAACTTGTCTTTGACATTGAGTTTCACAATATATTTGTGATGAAACACTGCTGAATGTACACATAAACTCAGGATATACTGTACATTAGGTAAAAAGTCATCATCATCGTAATTCTAATTTGTTGCAATTAATCTTTGCAATTTTGCTTCAATAAAAAAATTCTGGAAAATAAATCACATACAAAAGAAAGTTGTTTATTCATTTCCATAACTGGCGGTGTCCTAATTTAAGTCACATAGCTCAAAACATGAACACTTCATTGATCAAACTGTGACTGCTGTTCAGTATTTTAAACAAACATACAAGAGTTTGAACAAAAACAAAAAATCTTGCACACAGTCATGAAGAATTTTTCAATGGAACCTTAATAAAACCTCAACAGAAAAAGGCATAGAAATTCTTCTTATATTACCTCAAGTTTTTGTTTGTTTCCTTCAGCAAGACTCGGGTGGTGACATTTACAGATTCTGTCTATAATTATCAACTGGTCAGCCTCTCTACGGTCTTGTAACAGTGCCACGAGGTCATCATATTCAGTAGGGACTGAATCAGAACAAAACAGTCATCAGCTTATACACAGCAGGGAGTCAATCAGAACAAACCGTACACCAATCACATGCTAGTTTATGCAGGGATTTGAATTTTTACCAATCTGTTGATTAAATCTGGCTTGTCAATAAAAAGTGCTGAATTGTGTTCACATATGACAATTATGGTAATGTGTAGTGTCACCAAAGGATCTCTATCTCAGCACTAGTCATCCATTCAGTGAGACGGTTCATTAAATAATTTAACCCAATAACCTTCACACTGTTTATCTTTTGCATACCTACACAGTCTTAATGCCATTCTTAAGCTAACATTTATCTAATTAAAATAGCTTCAGAAAACCTATGATTCCAGGACCATTTCTTCACAGATCATCCTTAAGGAATATTTTGAAAATTTCTTAATTGATAGAGATATCTGGACTTTTTTCTTTGGACTCTTTATTGCCAGCAGAAGTACTAGTACCTCTGCACTTCATGTTCCTGTTAAACTATCAAAGACACAGTTTCCAAATTTTCTGTCAAATATAAAAACAATAAACCAAAAATAAAATATCATCCATTTAACTCATACATAGAAACATAATATTTCCAGAAACATGCACATGCAGTGCTTTATGCAGAAATTTTAAAATACTAACGGTATTCATTAAGTTAGTTTAGGACAGATATGGCTGGATTCCTCAAACTGTATGTGCTGTGTATTCCACAAGTCACCCCTGACCCCAATCTGTACCTAGAGTCACTCTTGCACATTCAGTCAGTTAAACTGTTTATACAAAAGTGCCCTAGATATCCTCTGGATACCTTAGAGATAAACAACACTTAAGTTTGGATATTCATCAGTTTGTCTTTAAGGGTGAATTCTACTTACTTTCAAAAACATAAGGCACTTCTTTTCTGGCAGCATCCATTATTTTTTTCTTTTTCTGAAGGAAAAGATAAAATTTAAGACTTTGATGTATTTCTTTAAGTTTAAAAGTTAATTCTTTTTAATGACAAAAATTAACACATAACAGTTAAAATACAGATTAGCGATTTTTTTTCACACAAAGAAATTCTATACATCTTTGAGGGATGTCATCAGTTCTCCTAACTTTAAATCTTTGATAGATGTCGTCAATTCTCCCAACTTTAAATCTTTGATAAATGTCATCAATTCTCCTAACTTTAAAGTGAATCTTGGGTTCTGATTTCTATCCAATATAAAGCATTTCTATACATCTTTGATGGATGTCATCAGTTCTCCTAACTTTAAATCTTTGGTAAATGTCGTCAATTCTCCTAACTTTAAATCTTTGATAAATGTCATCAGTTCTCCTAACTTTAAATCTTTGATAAATGTCGTCAATTCTCCTAACTTTAAATCTTTGATAAATGTCATCAGTTCTCCTAACTTTAAATCTTTGATAAATGTCGTCAATTCTCCTAACTTTAAATCTTTGATAAATGTCGTCAATTCTCCTAACTTTAAGTCTTTGATAAATGTCATCAGTTCTCCTAACTTTAAATCTTTGGTAAATGTCGTCAATTCTCCTAACTTTAAATCTTTGATAAATGTCATCAGTTCTCCTAACTTTAAGTCTTTGATAAATGTCATCAATTCTCCTAACTTTAAAGTGAATCTTGGGTTCTGATTTCTATCCAATATAAAGCATTTCTATACGTCTTTGATAAATGTCATCAGTTCTCCTAACTTTAAATCTTTGATAAATGTTGTCAATTCTCCTAACTTTAAATCTTTGATAAATGTTGTCAGTTCTCCTAACTTTAAATCTTTGATAAATGTTGTCAGTTCTCCTAACTTTAAATCTTTGATGGATGTCATCAATTCTCCTAACTTTTAATCTTTGATTGATGTCATCAGTTCTCCTAACTTTAAATCTTTGATAAATGTCATCAATTCTCCTAACTTTAAAGTGAATCTTGGGTTCTGATTTCTATCCAATATAAAGCATTTCTATACATCTTTGATGGATGTCATCAGTTCTCCTAACTTTAAATCTTTGGTAAATGTCGTCAATTCTCCTAACTTTAAATCTTTGATAAATGTCGTCAATTCTCCTAACTTTAAATCTTTGATAAATGTCGTCAATTCTCCTAACTTTAAATCTTTGATAAATGTCATCAGTTCTCCTAACTTTAAATCTTTGATAAATGTTGTCAATTCTCCTAACTTTAAATCTTTGATAAATGTTGTCAATTCTCCTAACTTTAAGTCTTTGATAAATGTCATCAGTTCTCCTAACTTTAAATCTTTGATCAATGTCGTCAATTCTCCTAACATTAAATCTTTGATGGATGTCATCAATTCTCCTAACTTTAAATCTTTGATGGATGTCATCAGTTCTCCTAACTTTTAATCTTTCATTGATGTCATCAGTTCTCCTAACTTTAAATCTTTGATGGATGTCATCAGTTCTCCTAACTTTTAATCTTTGATGGATGTCATCAGTTCTCCTAACTTTTAATCTTTGATAGATGTCATCAGTTCTCCTAACTTTAAATCTTTGATAGATGTCATCAGTTCTCCGAACTTTAAATCTTTGATAGATGTCATCAGTTCTCCTAACTTTAAAGTGAATCTTGGGTTCTGATTTCTATCCTATATAAAGCATAACTGTACATCTTTTATATATACCATCAATCATCCTTACTTTCAGGTCCACTTTGGGAGCTGGCTTCTTTACAGGCTTATCTTCTGGTTCTTCAGTGTTCTTTTCTTCCTCTTCATCAGACTGTATGTCCTTGTAGCTATCATCATCACTGTCATCATCATCTAACAAAGTAACTAACAACATGTACAATGTCTCAAGTCTACTGCAGTGATTTCTTCACTGCTAAATAATGTATACAGTTCCCCCCTGAAATTTTGAAAATTTCTACTTTCCTATGTATCCTGTAAAAACCCCAAGGGCCCCAAACTAAGACACCTTCTTCAAAGCCAGTGAGTCTTTTCTATTATTCTTCAGAATAGCAATAGATATGAGTGCATTTATCACCAGATTTAAATAAAATTTGCACAAGATGGTGGATGCCATTCATGTCCATAAACCTAATCCTTGCTAAGAAACGATGATTTTCCTAACATATAATTACCATCTTCAGCTGAATCCTCTTCTTCCTTGTCATCTTCCTCATCTTCACCATCTGTATCACCCTCCCCTTCCACATCACTGTCATCCTCATTCTCTCCTGATCTACTGCCATCCTCATCACCTCCTGATCTACTGCCATCCTCGTCACCTCCTGAATTACTGCCATCATCATCATCATTGCCTGGCATCAGTAACTTCCCATCTTTATATGAGATATGAAATCTTTCTTTAATAGATGTGTCCAGGGCATAACTGCAATGAAAATTAATTAACATGTATTGAAGATTTAAAATTCTGAAATGTTGTCATGATGGAGATTTTTCTTTGTACATGACAAGGAGTATTTAAAGAAACTACCTGACTACTTTAACTGTATACGTTCACATTCATAATCAAGTGGATACCGCCTAATGAATGTCATGTTCCATTTGTTAGGAAAAATGTGATAACCTCAATGTGCCATTTACAGTTGACACATTTTTTTTTCTGAAATCTAAAAACTGAAATTTACTTTCTGATGTGCCAGACTGACTTAACAGAACTTGTGTGAAGACTAATTTGTATTTGCTTTGTTCTTCCCACAAGCACAGTAATTTTTCTTAATTTTCATTTTTGGAAATATGTGACCTGATATAAATTATCATGAACGATCATGTCATATTCACAGTTTACACATCAAATTTGTATGTGACACTACAATGTCATCAGCTGATATTTTGCAGCATACCTATTACAGTACAGGATTCATAATAGGGCACCATTACTCAGTTGATATATATACTGTGTATATCTCTGTAACTTTAATGAATGTGTACTCAAAGTTGTTTTCATCGAGCTTTGCTTTTATTTGTAATAGCCAATGAGATGTCATGAAACATCACATAGAGAAAATTCGGTTTCAGAACATTCTATGGTCATCTTATGTACCCGCAAGGAATTGTTTGGAGAAGATGATTACTTTATCAGCAAAGACATAAGGAGCCCAGTGAAGTTTTTTGGGGCATGTGTAATAGTCAGTTATTTTAGCATCTAAGCTTTGTGTCAGAAATATGTTCACGTAAATTTAAAGATGCCGATATTCATAATAATGACATTAACATGCTGGGGTTCAGGGTCCCATGGAAGATTGTAAATAGAAACAAAACAAACAAAATTTATCCTAAATATGAGTTCATGTTTGATTATTTTCTCATCATATCTTTGAAAAACAATCTTCAACAATGTTTCGAAAATGACCTCTGTATGCATACTAAAGACTCATTTTAACATACATTTAGCAGCATATCAAAAAATATAATATGGCATCCACTCACTCATATTGCTTAACCATCATAACAAGTTTGGATTGTGATAGCCAAGTAAACAAGGAGCCGTCACTCAATTATGTACCGTTACTATCACCTGAAGATCTAATACAGTGGAAATGTAATGTCTTCTTTTGTCAATTATCAATAAAACTTCCTTGCAGCTCCTCAACATCAACATTTCATATATTTGTTATATATCAACTTTATAGTAAAAGTTTAATATCTTGATCTAGATCCTGTGTGTTTAACTGTTCATATAAGAATAAAACTTGGTAATGTCCATTACTGGAATAATACAAAAAGTCAAGAAATTGAAAAATTTGACAGTAACAGTAAAAGGATAAACAAGAAGATAACGCAAAGTGTGCCATCATTCCCCGCGCCCCGCTGTTTAAAAGAAAGACACGCAATCATATATGTGTGTTAATATAACAAGTTTAATTTCTATTTGTTTTTTCTAACTGTTCCATACAAAGTATTGATACAGAGAACTTCTACTAGAGTACTAGCTTGATACCTTTACTAAGTTTTGAGTATTGGGTAATTACCTTGAATGGTTTAAGAGAACTGGTCTGAACAAAAAATGAACTTGGTGATTTGGCCTATCTGTTTCCATGGTAACAGAAAAAGTATTTAACTGGAGAACTCCTCCATAGCAAAAGATACTATTAGCTTAATAAGTGTTAAAATTTTGAGCAATTATCTTAAACAGTTTCAGAACACTGGTCCAGAAAACTCAATTTGTGATGAGGATTATCTGTGTCCATGGTAACAAAAGAAAAAAATTAACTAAGGCACTAACCGTATATATACAGAAAATTTTGTGGAGTTGAGTGGAATGGGAAGTTGTAACCCGGAAAGGAAAGTTAACAGTAATTTTGAGATTTTTTATTATGTTTCCATTGCAACAGAAAAAACAAAAAAAAAATGAAGTGTAAATGAAGGAAAAGGCACAACTAGGGCACTAACCTATTATATATAGACAGTTTTGTGGAGTTGAGTGGAAAGTTTTTGAAGATGTAGCCTGGAAAGGAAAGTTACTGTTAATGTTGTATTTTTTAAATATAAAAGATGAAATGTTGTCAATAGCGAAAGGCACAACTAGGGCACTAATTTTTCTGATTTGGCGGTGACAATGTTTACATAACATGTCCAGGTGTGGCAAATAGCCGTTTAGGCATGAATCCATAGTTCTTGTCTTCACTTACCTATTATTTACTGATTTTTTTTTTTTAAGAATAGTTGCAAAAATGAAGTGATATTAAAACTTGCCAACATGAAAATATGAAATATTATAAGTTGCTGCATTACACAGAAAATATAGGGTGTTTCAAGAAAATGTGATATTAACCAGAAAGTGACATTATCTCATGTGACATTAAGTGGTTTCCACTGTATCTTAAAAACAGATTGGGTGAAGTGTATGACTAGCAATTAGTTTTACCAAATTATCAAGTAATTATCATTTATGCCATATGAAATATGATTTATATGGATAAATGATGACATACCCATCACTGAGGTCATCAGCAGAGAAATGAACAATCTTGGGTTCCTCGTCATCACCATCTCCTCTCATCCTTCGCAATCGGTCCTCCTATTGTTGATGAACAAATTACAAATAGATCACTGATTTTCTCTTGTGTAACATTGTGGATTTGCAAGAGGTCATCCATTTAAAAATGAGTAACTTTTATCCATGGTTCAGTTCTAATCACATTAATGATTAAATTCTTTAGGCAGTATTTGTAAACAAAACCTTTAATACTTAAGTGGGATAGGTATTTTACTGGAATAACCCTAAAAAAAATTGTCTCCTGGTCAACACTCTTCAAACTTTGTTTTAATACTGTACTAAATCTGCCTCTGTTAACACGTGTTTACAAATATCATGGTACTTTACCTCTAACTTGTCAAGTCGTTCTTTCTCTTCCTTTGCAAGTTCTTCTTCAGTCTTCAATCTGTCTGTTGCCTATCGGAAGAGTGTACAGATACAATGTAATGCCCGTTGGTCATGTGTCATTGTGAAAAGGTAGGCATAAGTTAATTCTGCTTAATTTCTGCTCAATAAAGATCTATTGAGAACAATTTAACTATTGTATCCTAAATGGTTGTCATTTGCCTATTTTCCCTTGAACTAGTTAAAACCTGAACAAGAATAAAAACCCAATGAATCAAACAAGAGAATTGATTCAATGCTGATCTAGATGCATTAATAACAAGCATGGAGGAAAAAAAGTAGATGTTGGTCTACCTGAATTTCACACATATGAATGTTGTATTAGAACCAAATCTATACTGTAAGCCAGTCTGATATAAGTTGCTCTACATCTTGTGTACATTTAAACACAACCTACCTCTCCTTTAGACTCAAACTTCAGCTCCCTGACAGCAATATCATAATCATCTACTTTCGGTTTTTCTTTAAGATCATCTTTGGATTTCTGCAAACATGTTTTTTTCTTTTGTAAAAACTCAGATGTAAAAAGCATGATTCATAAATTACATTCACTCCATATTCAAAATGAAATGAGTCTGGTGATGATGCATATTTGAAACTTAAAAACATGGTTTATGACCAAAATAAAATCTTCAGAAAGAGAAAATGTGAAGTGCAAGTTGTTATTGTTGTCTGTTGACAATCTGCTTGAAAAACAAACTATTTTATCATGAAAATGCAATGTGTCTTCATGATCTAAATAAACAGTCACTGAATTGCTTCAAAGTATGTTTTTTCAAAATGCCTTTGTAAAGCATCTAATCAACATCGTATGCTGTTTGTCATCACATAATGCCAAGTATCATGCAGATTATGTGAATTCTATAAGGAAATAAGGTGCAAACAACAGATGAATGCTTGACACTTTCTTGAAAAGGCGTTTGTAACGAAACCAAGTGTTTCAGTTCAAACTGACACATGACAAATAGCAGGCTCATTGACAGGTGGTGGCCTAAATGTTTTCTAAGAGTATCTTCATTAACATAATTGATGAACATTGTTCCAACTTTAGAAAAAAGGCTTCAGTTTGATGAAAGGGCTGTTTAGGGTAGGGGCATTTTTTTCAAACCTGATGCTGATTTGTGTTGAGGGTCCTTTAGATAGAAATATTTTGCCAATATGTCAGCTACCACTTATTGTGTCCAGTACTTGACACCTCGACCACTGGAATTTGATTCCCGAACTTAACTTGAAAACTATGTGGTCACCTGTCTGACTATGTTAGTTTTCCCCCAGGAACATTTGTATCCTCACACTGTAATACCCATAGTATGCTTCCATCTGGCCAAACAATAGTGAATGTTATAACTTGTTTTGAAAGTTTTGTAAAATAAATCCTGTTTACATCCATCATTTCCTATTTACCTTGGATTTTGACATCAGCTTCATCAAGTCTTGGAATTCTGAGTCTAGCTTTTCTGTCATTTGTAAAGTTTTCTCCTTCTCCATCTGCCTGTCATGCTACAATCATACAAATCACAACAACCTGGTACATAGAGGTATATATCAAATATACTTTTTTTCATTTTTTTTTACTTTAATTTGTAACAACACAACAGTACAACAGGATATATTCCATCATATATTTAGTAACATAAGGAAATCTAATATGTATATAACAACTTAACTTCAAAGTTCAAAAATGCAGGTCGAAAAAATGTCAAATAATAGGCATTTCCATAACTGTTGTTGCAATACCTTAATGGTAATAATATTGTCTTTTATGAAATGAAATATACATGTATCTTGGGTACTTGGCTGGGCAAAGTCACTAATTTGGACTCACTTGAATGAGGTTCATTTGAGATACAAACATATTTTATCATTGTATACATGAAACCTTTGATATTTATACATGATTACTTTTTCTTTTTTAGATTTTGCAATTGTTTCTTCCATCTTTTCTTTCCATGATTTGTTACTCTGGTCTGTTGGATTGTCTTGAGTTTCAAACAGAAATCCTCCAAAGTGCTCCTCTGACACCATTTTACCTGTACAAGAAACACATATTGAAAAAGTAAACTGTAGTTCTTCTGATGTCTGGTTATACAACTCAATGCCAAGTTATTACAAATAAATGGTATGTAGAAGGACAATGACAAACATTTTTTGGCATAGCAAGTTAAAAAGTTGAGGTAATAGGGAGTGTGTATCAACTTATAATTTTTTGGTGAGTTGTATATATGTTTCTGTACTTGCATGTTGGATGTACAGATTGGATAAGAATGAGAGAAAGAATTACTGATCAAAGAAAATGTAAGAAAGAAAGTTATGAGTGTAAGATGAGGGAGAGATCTCCTGTGCAAGGCAACATTTTTGTAAGAGGAGTGAGTCTTGGGGTCACAACCCTGGCACTTCTTAAAACACTGTTGGGGAAATTATGAATGACTTATGTTTAACATTGTTTTATATTGCCTAAAAATTGGTAAACTTTATATCATATCATCCACACCATTTCGTTAGGAAGTGGTAAAGGGAACCTTGACCAAACTTTGTTGACATAACAGACAATGGAAGGCAATTTATCAAGATCGTCAGTAAAACATTTTATGAAGTTTGCAAGTGAATTATACACAGATAATCCATTATTTTACTAATGCATTTCAAAACAAGAGTGCCATGGACACAATATATGCCGCCACAAAATATAAAGATCAAGATTGGTCCTTTTAATTATCACTTTTAACATGTCTGTATCATAAATCTTACAAAAATCATTGAACGGTAAAATCACCCCTTCATGCACATCTACCCATTGTAGTAGTGACATTGAGCAAGTTTAGTGAAAATCTGATGATTATTTTAGGAGGAGTTGCGTTCACAAGAAATGGACATACGGACAGACCTACAGACAGATGGAGAAGACGACGCCAATATACGACTGGCTCTGGCTGCGTATAAAAATGTAAAATAAACATTAAACTCGTTTGGCTTGGGTGCCTTCACAGATTTTTCTAAGCAGAGATATAATGCCAGTGTCTGTACCATTAAATATTAACGAAGGCACTTGCATGCTGACCAAATTCTTATAGTTCCATAATATTCTTCTTGTAAGTTATCTGAGGCCATTCATATTGCAAACAAGCATGTCAGTCGTTCTAGACATATATGCTGATGACCTATCGATCCCAGACTGAAAAGGCTAATGTAAACTTCTGTTATGGCTTTAAAGTAACCGTTAAAGTCCAGAAGATATTATTGTGATTCATATTACAAGGCATGATTGATTAAAGTTGACTACTACTATAGCAGTACTACACATACCTGATGTATTATTATGAATTATCATCTCTTACATTTTCCCTCTTATACTAGAATTAAATACAATGTAAGCCTGGTCTGGGCAGCTAAGATGGCTATTTTCACGTAAGTAAATATATGAAGTAACTCCTTCTTATTTAAAAAAGCAATCTTCATATTATAAATAGCACTTGTTGTAACCTTACTTACAAACTATGTATATCTATTTGTTGAAATTGGGTTTTAAACCCAAACAGTTTGGCCAGTGTGTTGTGCATATGGACTTTATGTGGCCTTATCTGCTGGGAGAAAAATCTAATTTCTACAAATATTTGAACTCATCAAGCCAAAATTAAGACTATGAAACTTTCTCAGACGAGATCATCTTGATTTATGCTCAAACTCAGTAGTCATAACATTGGGTTACTTCCTGATATAATCCTGAACTAGTTTGTTTACAATAAGGAGTTACTTCCCTTATGTCTTTCTTTAACAAAATTGTATAGATATATATATGTCTGTTTGTTTGTTTACCTCAGGTTGTCACCTGAAGGAGAGGACTTGAATAGGCAATGCCTGATGTCCAATTCCTTTTGACATTTGTCAATAAAATTTGTTGAAATTGAAATTGAAATCCGTGAAAATGTTAATTTTATTTCATTCTTCAAATCATCCTGTATATGATTGCAAATGATGGTTCTGGATGATCTGTTTCAGTCACAAACATGGGACGGGTAGCTATGTAAAAAAAAAACTCAGTACCCTCTCGTACTGGTGTACTCGTAAGCTTCATTTTTTCTTTTTTGTCTTGCCAATTTTTTTTGGCACATATAAGCCGCGCTGGTGTATAAGCCACATGCCCGACTTACAAGGGAAAAAGGTGCAGCTTATAATCTGGAAAATACAGTAGTTAAGAATCAAATAATAATATCTGTAAACCGCGAGATATTTACATACCACTTATTTTACCCCTGTCATCATCATCTTCATCATCACTGACAACAGGATCCTCAAATTTCTCAATCTCTGACAGTGACTGTCCATAATGTGTTAGGTCATCATCTTCATCATTCAGGCTATACTTGTTAGTCTTATCATGCTGTAGCAGAGATTAATATAACCCCATACATTCATGATGTAATTACATGAAAATGAGAAATCAACTGTCTCATCCAACTTGATTATGGAATAACATAAATATAATGTTGAACACCAATTGATGAGTTTCAGAGGTCATGTTATCTCAAAACTAACATCCCATGAATTTCTAGCAATAGAAATATATCAAAATTGTAAAGTCAAACCAATGACTTGAATTTTATTTTATTCTATGACCAAAGTAACTTACAGATCTCTCCATGGCAAATCTTTTCATCATTTTGTCTTCAATGTTCATATTGGTATCATTCTCTCCAAACCGTTTGTCCACAAATGTATTGCTTTTCATTCTCTGGTCGTATTCATGTAATAGTGTTTGCTCTCTCTGTTGAATAACAAACACAACAAAATTATTATTTTTGTATTTCTAGTGCTGTATCTTGAACAACAATAAAACAAATTAAAAATCACCTGTTACTGGAGAAATAAATAACTTTGATATCTAACAGGAATTCGGTGAAAATTCCCATTCACTTTGAAGTTGTCAATAGTGGCAGAAGAGGAAATCATCATTTCGTATGAATCAAAGATTGTTTACACCTTTGGGTAATGTAACAGAAATTCGTCATTTTATATCTAAAGCACTAAGAATGAGAAGACTAACCTTCTTCATGGCCTTTGACCGAGATAAGCCTGGCATTCCCTTGTCATGTTTGGACACCTTCCTTCCCAATACATCATGTTTGACTCTGTTGATTTTCACTTCAAAAGGATTTATCTTTTTTGCTGAAGGCTTCTGCTTACTCCTCACTATGTCAGAAATGTTTTTCTTCTTTTTCCCCATTGTATTTGTTGGTCTTGTTGGTTTACATTTCCCTGAGAAAGAAATGAAATCTTATAATCATGTTAATTACTTACACGAATTCCTGAAAATCTGCTTATGACATTAATGAGGAGGAGTTGGAAAGTCTTAATGCTATGACTTTAGAAAAAAACATTTTTTCTTAAATCTATTTCCCTTCAACAAATATTATTATATGTTAATGTGACATGCCATATTTGAAAAATGGAATCAGATAAAGGAATTAAGAAACATGATTTTCTTTCTGTGAAATAAAACCACTTTTATTGTTAGGAGAGAGATATCTTATGGGCTACTATCTAAAATTTGATATGATGCTACATTTTATCAACTGTACTACTTCACACCATGTCAAGGTAAAACAAATCCCCTGAGCATTGTCTAAAAACTGTACGGTATGTGCGTATATATGTGTTTATCTGAAGGAGCTCACTGAGTAGAGCTAGATATCACAAGGAGTAGGTGATACAATTGATACAAAGAATCCTGATACAATACATATTGCAAGGTATGAAACACACTTTCCAACTGTGAACACTTTCTAGTAAACAAATGTATCAATGTGTCGTATATGCGTCATCCAATTACTGGAAAACATTCTTTCAACTTCATTTCAATTTACAGTACACAAATGTGTTATCAGTTTCATATAATCAGGGATCCGGAAAAGCACCCGTCCGGTCGGACGAGTATTTTTTTCCAATGATATTAATGTTACAACTTAAATTTCAATAAAAATGAAAAGAAAATTTAAAACAAAGAAACATGTTAACGGTACTTCGAAAACAAAATATTCCAGTCTGCACTCTAACTTTTGATTACACCAGAACTCCCATGATGTCAAATACAGCATTCAGAATATCCTGCAGTCATACTGATGTCAGGTGCTCATGGCCAGTACCAACATGTACCGGTTTGTATTTAGCAGCACCTAGTCAGTCGGATGTAAACAAACACTATGACTAGGCCTAAGTCATGCACAATATCTGACACAAAGCAGCCATCACTGCATAGTTTTTTTCACTAAAACTTCAAATAAAAATAGAAAAAAAAGTCGCATGTCACATCCTCACTGATTAAGTCACCATTTCATAGCTGAATTTGGACGAGTAAATTTCCAATCTGGACAAGTAATTTTTCAGCCCACTAGTCCTGTGCCTAGTGGTTTAGAATCTTTTTCCAGACTCCTGATAATCCTGTTCAGTCTCTTGAGAGAAACATTAAATCTAAGTGTGTGCCTTAAGTTGGTCAAAGGGGACATGTATATTGAAGTCTGATGTGATGTAGCTCAGCCTTTAACTGTTCCAGGGAACTGCACACCATAGCATTGTCCTAAGCTTGATCATGTCAAGATTGCAGCATCCTGATGACACCAGGAACTTAAGTCTATGACTATGCATTGCTACTGCAACTGGGGTGACTGGTATACAATAAAGTGCATTATGATGACATTGGTCTGTGCCCTATGTTTCTGAAGGGCTAGCCACTTGAGTTGTTGCAGCATATATGGTCCACTTCTAATAGTATGGTAGTCACCAGCAGCAAATCTGAGTGACCTTCGCTGCACCATCTTGAATCACATGAGTGTATTCCATGTTTAGCATGATAATAGTCTTGTAACATAGTTGCTTGGTTTCTCATGGACATATGCTACCCTGGGTCACATGAGAGTTCGTGGAGCACTCTGGAACTCACTTGTTGTGAGTGTCCTCTTTGGCAGTCCTTTACCACCAATCTAGAATCTGGCAGTTGTTTGCTTGATTCCTGTCAAGCCCAGCTAAATTTAACCTCTGGTGTTACAATCATTAACTTTTTGACTATTCAGTCACTTAATACATTCATATACACAAAATTCAGTGAACTTTGAAGTGTGTGTGTGTTTATTTTCGAATTTTAGAAGTTTGCTGATTAATTGACAGTATACTATCTACAAGCACAGGCACTCGAGGCCAGGATATTATTTTTTAAACGTTGATTTTTGTTTTAGCACTCATGACTGACGTTATTTAAACGAAATATCAGCAGAATTCAAGTTTATGTGCCGGTTGACAAATCCGAGGTCCACGGTCATTAAAAATACACAAGGCAAGCAACTCCAGATTTTAAAAAATCGACCCCTCGCTTGGAAACTGGCTCAAAAAAAGTAGTTATGATAAGTTCCTTGTAAAACAATATGTATCCGTAGGTAGTGTGTATATTTACCTTTTATTTGGTGCATAACATTACAGGCAACGAGAAATTCACAATACGTACATGAGATTAACATCTCAATAATCGGAGATTTTATCGTCCATGTAATTATCTTTGACGGAAGTAACATGCCATTTCAAGGGCGGTCACTCCGACTTTTTGGGAGAGGAGTTCCGGATAGCACTATACCAGTGAACAGGTAAGAAAGGTTCCGATGTCATTACGCGCGTAACTACAAAATAGATATTTTTATTTCTACAAATACATTTGCGGGGATGGAAAAATAATGGCTGGGCATTTAAAAAAAAAATAGAAAAAAAATCATTTAATTTCCAATTTCTAAGTTAATATATTTCCCCCACGATATTTTTCATAAATTGCGCCCTTTTTTCATTATCTGCATGATTTTTTTTTTCTATTTTTTTTTTGAAAAAAAATTCTCATTACCGCCAGCTTGATTGAAATTTGATGCATTCTGTATAATCCCTTACCATGATATTGTATCCGAGTTGGCAACTGTGGACTTTCTTTGCCCAGCCATTATTTTTCCATCCCCGCAAATGTATTTGTAGAAATAAAAATATCTATTTTGTAGTTACGCGCGTAATGACATCGGAACCTTTCTTACCTGTTCACTGGTATAGTGCTATCCGGAACTCCTCTCCCAAAAAGTCGGAGTGACCGCCCTTGAAATGGCATGTTACTTCCGTCAAAGATAATTACATGGACGATAAAATCTCCGATTATTGAGATGTTAATCTCATGTACGTATTGTGAATTTCTCGTTGCCTGTAATGTTATGCACCAAATAAAAGGTAAATATACACACTACCTACGGATACATATTGTTTTACAAGGAACTTATCATAACTACTTTTTTTGAGCCAGTTTCCAAGCGAGGGGTCGATTTTTTAAAATCTGGAGTTGCTTGCCTTGTGTATTTTTAATGACCGTGGACCTCGGATTTGTCAACCGGCACATAAACTTGAATTCTGCTGATATTTCGTTTAAATAACGTCAGTCATGAGTGCTAAAACAAAAATCAACGTTTAAAAAATAATATCCTGGCCTCGAGTGCCTGTGTCTACAAGTACTTGAGCACTGGCAAATCTGGCCATATATTTGGCCATGTAGTCCTATAAACATATGCAGATACGCATCCCTTTGGTGCTGATAAGAGCCACATGTGTGCTTTAAGCATACTATTTCCATGCAAAAAAATACAACCCAAAATGAATGTGAACTTGTGGTGGAAGTAAGTGAAATATGAGGTATATTAATCATGGATATGAAGGGAGATAGTTCTAGTCACAGACACAGGGCCTCGCCAGGGCGAGTTTGAAACATTCTACCTAAGCTTCATTCTTGTGGAAGTGTATGATATGCAGCGTTATTACAATATGGAATAAGTTTTATATTACCTTATTTTCTGCGTTCCAAAATGCAATTGCTCCTCTAGTATCTAGTATTATGTACTTTTTCTAACCAATCAAGAATTTCAATCGTGGAAAGCCATGTGCTTCTTGACCGGAAGTAGTTTTATCACATTCGGAATTGTTTCCTCTTATTAACAAAATAGAAGTATACCGAAGAGGGTCTTCTTAAATATTAAAACGGCGACCACAATCACACTTTCCGGACGTGGTGAAACACATCCAGGAGGTAACATCAATCAGCAATCTCGGAAACCAGCCATGGCAACACCTACGAAAGTAGTGTTGTTAGCCTGTGGATCCTACAGCCCAGTAACCAACATGCATCTCCGGATGTTTGGTAAGATCCGAAAATATTCTGAATGCATGGATAATCGATTTGTGTGTAGATGTTACCTCATTTGTTTGGCGATTCTGATGCTGTGTCCTGTTTAAACGTGTCTGAGCTGACGATTACAAACTTACGCCGTCTTCGATAAATGTCAATACTCTGCAATATGCAAAATTTGGACAAACTTTTTTTTTAAATCTAGGAATACATTGAATGACATTCATAATTCAAGAAAACCAAGTCAATTCACTTTCGGTTTTCATTTGATAATCGGAGCCGGCTCTGCGCCCTATACTAAGATATTGGCTACTAGATTCTCTGTGTTTACTCAATCGTTTGAATTCCCTACTTCCTGAATAGATATATTCTGTCCTTATTATTTGTAAAGATGAAATTTAGTGAATGGTTTCGATTTTCCATTTGATTATGATTGTAATAAAGAAGTGAATCATACATGACAGGGATTTTCCTGCAACGTGTTATGTTAATCCAAATGACTGTGGGTAGTGGTGAACATTGGAAACCTCTTATTTTTCTGAATCTTAAGCTGTAATTGAGCAAGGCAATCATGTTTATATTTAGTGATTGACACAGGAAGCCAATTGACTTGTGTGTATATGTGTGCAAAATTCTGCTATGATATGGGGATGCAACAGTTGGTTTGGTCATTGAACACTGTGTAAAGTTCATGGAAGCATAGATGCTCAAAGAGATATCGAGGTCCTTGACTCTCAGTTGTGGCCATGCAGTTTTGGCCTGTCATTTTACCAAGCAACCTTATATACACAGTGCTCGTGTAGAGGAACAGTTTAATAGTATGTAAGTTATGGTATGGCCTATTTCAAATTATTCAGATTTTCCATTTTGTATATTGGTGTGAATAATCCAGACTCTGCTTATATCACAAATGCTGACCACCTATTCCAAGTCATTTTCCTCATACAGCTGAATTTATCACTTGACTATATTCATAGTTTATATTTTATTCTTCAGTTGGTTTTTTGTATTCTGAGTGAGATAACTTGTAGTAAAACAGCAGCCATTTTTCTGCAAACATTTATGGCACAGTGATGTAGATCCACCTACATTATGAATTTGCCAAAGATACATGTATAGAATTAACTTAAATGTGTTTCTCTTGTTGACTACTGATAACAATCTCTTTATGCATCAATATCTTTGTACTAGTACTATGATATATGCCTTTGAATGGTCATATCATGATTCAAGGTTCAATAACAACATAAATATTAGATATGCAATTGTAAACATCAAAAATCAACACTCAAGTGGTAGACTGTCTATCTAGAGTTTGGAGGGTTCCGAGTTTTAGGTAGTTGTGGTTTTGGGCTGAGACATACAAAAAGGAGAAGGGAATGTAGTGAAACTATTGTGGTGATGAAGTAGTTCATTAATGTTTGATGGAGGGTCTGTATAGATTTCAGAGATTTTTGTCGGTTCAAACCGTAGTCTGGCCATGTATTTTTCCATTCCTATTACCCAGTATTACATTGGCAATTAACTTCCAATGTCAGATACATTATCTTTATTGTCTGTTTTTGAGCTCATCACACATTATGCTTACTTACCAATCCTACCTACTTTGAAGGTCTTCATCCAGTTTTTGACTCAGAGACACAAAGTTTGCTAGAACCATTTTATCCTCTTAATCATAGATTGGCAGGGTTGGGATATTGCAATCACTTCTGTCATTACAAAGTTCAAAGTTCAATGTCATTTTACTGTAAGTACAAGATTAGTTTCTATAAAATACTTTTAGTTCTGTTGATCCAGTCCCATTCAGACTGCCTGTAATGCATTTGCTCAGAATGTAGTTACTGATGATTGCTTTTAAGGACTGGAAGTGTATGGTCTGTCACTATTACTCTTGCTAGTAAATTAGTTTCAATACAATATCTCTGGTTCTGTAAGGTCAATTTCTCTCAGATTGCATGTATTGCTTCCTTACAGAAACCGTTTGCTCAGGATTCCTTTTCATTTCTAGAGGTCAAAGGTCAAGGTCATATTAACAGTAAATAGAAAACCAGTTTACCAATAAATAAAACACCATCTATTTTTTAAAAACAAACGAAAAAATGTGTCACCCTGTGTGCTATGGTTTAGGATGGATTTGACTGACATCAATATACTATATTGGCATAGGTTACTTACAAATGATTATAATTATTTTAATTTGTATAGCTGACAGCTGAAGTTCTTTACTTTTATCCTCTAGCTCTCCCTGTGAAAATTATGAATTTTGAAGACATTCAGTCTCATAAGACAATTTTTTTTCCATCACATTTGCAATTTAAAGTGATCAGTTTGGGAGCTTTCATTTTGGATATTAGTAACTACATAGTTTGATCAATCAATTGGTCTTTGTCAAGTACCTTGAACTATTTTAAATTCAAAACATTAAAATAAATAGATAAACAGATCTTTCATGATAGATTGTTTCCAGTGTTGGTATTTGAATTAAAGCTTTGTTACTATTTGTAAATTCTGTTGAGTAATACAGGTACATTGGACCTCTTGTTGTAAATATGCTTTATTCAGCTATAATATACATAACAGATAACTATACATTGATCTAGCTAGTGCCACCAGACAGTTTCATTTCTTTGTAGCTCAAACACTCTTTTCTTCTGTATATTAGAAGATGTTTATATTTGTGTTTGGGGATCAATGGAATTTATGATTTAATTATTTGAATTACTATTAATCTTTTCATATATATAGTTATAGCCCTTAGTTTCCATATGCTTATGAAAAAAGAATCTTTGAGGCTGTGTAGGATAAGTCTGTATATTGTTTTTACCATTGTCATCATAAATCAGGTAGCCACAAAATTAAGGCTTGAATATCTTATTGTAATTCTACTTTTTTTGGCCTCATTAATTTAACCTGGTATATGCTTGCCTATCTATCAAATTAAGACACATAGCCATCATATAATTGAATTATTCATGCATGCCTTTAAATATTGATCTGTTAAATGTTTTGATTTACTGTCCCTGTTATTTTGTTATATATACATGTCGTTGACTTGTTTTACAATGAGGATATATAGACAGTTGTTTGTTATATATACATGTAGTTGACTTGTTTTACTATGAGGATATATAGACAGTTGTTTGTTATATATACATGTAGTTGACTTGTTATGAGGATATATAGACAGTTGTTTGTTATATATACATGTAGTTGACTTGTTATGAGGATATATAGACAGTTGTTTGTTATATATACATGTAGTTGACTTGTTATGAGGATATATAGACAGTTGTTTGTTATATATACATGTAGTTGACTTGTTTTACTATGAGGATATATAGACAGTTGTTTGTTATATATACATGTAGTTGACTTGTTTTACTATGAGGATATATAGACAGTTGTTTGTTATATATACATGTAGTTGACTTGTTTTACTATGAGGATATATAGACAGTTGTTTGTTATATATACATGTAGTTGACTTGTTTTACTATGAGGATATATAGACAGTTGTTTGTTATATATACATGTAGTTGACTTGTTTTACTATGAGGATATATAGACAGTTGTTTGTTATATATACATGTAGTTGACTTGTTATGAGGATATATAGACAGTTGTTTGTTATATATACATGTAGTTGACTTGTTTTGAGGATATATAGACAGTTGTTTGTTATATATACATGTAGTTGACTTGTTTTACTATGAGGATATATAGACAGTTGTTTGTTATATATACATGTAGTTGACTTGTTTTACTATGAGGATATATAGACAGTTGTTTGTTATATATACATGTAGTTGACTTGTTATGAGGATATATAGACAGTTGTTTGTTATATATACATGTAGTTGACTTGTTATATATAGAGGATATATAGACAGTTGTTTGTTATATATACATGTAGTTGACTTGTTATGAGGATATATAGACAGTTGTTTGTTATATATACATGTAGTAGTTGACTTGTTATGAGGATATATAGACAGTTGTTTGTTATATATACATGTAGTAGTTGACTTGTTATGAGGATATATAGACAGTTGTTTGTTATATATACATGTAGTAGTTGACTTGTTATGAGGATATATAGACAGTTGTTTGTTATATATACATGTAGTAGTTGACTTGTTATGAGGATATATAGACAGTTGTTTGTTATATATACATGTAGTTGACTTGTTATGAGGATATATAGACAGTTGTTTGTTATATATACATGTAGTTGACTTGTTATGAGGATATATAGACAGTTGTTTGTTATATATACATGTAGTTGACTTGTTATGGGGATATATAGACAGTTGTTTGTTATATATACATGTAGTTGACTTGTTATGAGGATATATAGACAGTTGTTTGTTATATATACATGTAGTTGACTTGTTATGAGGATATATAGACAGTTGTTTGTTATATATACATGTAGTTGACTTGTTATGAGGATATATAGACAGTTGTTTGTTATATATACATGTAGTTGACTTGTTATGAGGATATATAGACAGTTGTTTGTTATATATACATGTAGTTGACTATAGACAGTTGTTTGTTATATATACATGTAGTTGATATATATATAGACAGTTGTTTGTTATATATACATGTAGTTGACTTGTTATGAGGATATATAGACAGTTGTTTGTTATATATACATGTAGTTGACTTGTTATGAGGATATATAGACAGTTGTTTGTTATATATACATGTAGTTGACTTGTTATGAGGATATATAGACAGTTGTTTGTTATATATACATGTAGTTGACTATATATATAGACAGTTGTTTGTTATATATACATGTAGTTGACTTGTTATGAGGATATATAGACAGTTGTTTGTTATATATACATGTAGTTGACTTGTTATGAGGATATATAGACAGTTGTTTGTTATATATACATGTAGTTGACTTGTTATGAGGATATATAGACAGTTGTTTGTTATATATACATGTAGTTGACTTGTTATGAGGATATATAGACAGTTGTTTGTTATATATACAT